GAGGTGAGGATTTCTTTATGAGAGTAAGAAAACAGACGGTGTTTTTTCTTAGAGTCTTAGAGTCTATACTATCACCACAATGTCACAGAGGAGTGTCTGGAGGACCTTACCAGTCATAGGGAATCCTTCCTCAACTTGGGCCATGTTCTGGATGCACTTTATAACAGGCAAACTCCTTTGCTGAGTGTATGTCTCTGAATTATACCTCAAACAATAATGATAATGATTTTCTAATCAACGTATGTGGTCAGTGAACATGGATATCTCTGCAGTGTAGCTTTTTACAGGACTTTATGTAATTTTTACATACGTTTGAGGGGACACCTCATTGGAGGAGAGCTGTGTTTCTTTTTTAAAATGCACTTGATTCAATAATAATAATAGTTGGCATTCATTTAGTGCTTTAACATTTACAAAATGGTTTAGAAATATCCTATTTTTATCCTCACAACAACCCTAGGAGGAGAGTGCTATCATTATCTTCATTTTATAGCTAAAGAAACTGAGGCAGAGTGAGGTTAAATGAGTTGCCCAAGTTCACATAGCTATTGAGAGTCCAAAGCAGAATTTGAAATCAGGTCTTCCGGACTTCCAATTAAAGTTCTATCCACCATGCCATCTAGCTACCTGTAGAAAAGAAAATGTGAACTTAAAAGCTCTCCTCCAATGAGGTGTCCCCTCAAACGTATGTAAAAATTACATAAAGTCCTGTAAAAAGCTACACTGCAGAGATATCCATATTCACTGACCACATACGTTGATTAGAAAATCATTATCATTATCGTTTGAGGTATAATTCAGAGAGACATACACTCAGCAAAGGAGTTTGCCTGTTATAAAGTGCATCCAGAACATGGCCCAAGTTGAGGAAGGATTCCCTATGACTGGTAAGGTCCTCCAGACACTCCTCTGTGACATTGTGCTGATAGTATTAGAAGTTATGTCGATGTATAATCTTACAAAAATAAATGTTGAAAACTGCCTTTACATATAATTGGAAAAAACAGAATACTATTAAGTGCCAAAAAAAAGTTATGTTGACCCAGCATCCCATTGTTGCCAGTCCTACTTATCAACCGGTGTTGGGCGAGGCTGTGGTGGTGAAGGAGACACCAAGTCTGCAGTTTGTTGTCACATACCCTTCCCTGCAAATTGTCACATTCTTCCTATCTTGAGGAGGAATTGAGATGCAAGCTCCCAATCTCTTTTGCTGAGGTGGACCTATCTAAATTGTTTTAAGTTAACTATATAAGCTTGAAGCTACTGCTGATACTCAGTGATCAGGCAGTTAACGTGTGGCTACCTTGATGTACTTATAGTAAAATCCTTTTAATTTAAGTTAATTCTCTTTGTCTTGAGTTTTTCCCTGTTAATCAGAGCGAAAGCCCAATGAAGAATTTTCCTTTCAACAATAACAAGTCCCAAAACATTAAGGAGTCTGCAGGATGAGATCGATAATGATTCAAAAATGTTCAAGCTAACAAAACAAGTGGCTGAAAATGTCTACAATTCTTTTTCCAGACTACAATTTATGTTTGGATGCGCAAACTAGAGAACTTGTTGCTGTCATTTTTGTTCAGTCATTTTTCAGTCGCGTCCAACTCTATGGAACCCCATTAGGGTTTTTCTTGGCAAAGATACTGGAGTGGTTTGCCATTTCCGTCTCTAGCTCATTTTACAAATGAGGAAACTGAGGCAAACAGAGTTAACTGACTTGCCCAGGATCACATAGCTAGTGAGTGTCTGAGGCCAGATTAGAATTCAGAAAGATGAGTCTTCCTGACCCCAGGCCCTGCACTCTATACATTGCACCACCTAGCTGCCATCCTATAGAACTTAGGACACTTCAAAAAGACAATGAGTTGGGCCTACAATTGAACAGGAAGAGTAGCGATGATTTAGTCTTTGGAAAAAGACAACAATTATTTTAATGACTCCCACCTTTTCCCTGAAACAAAGGCCCATCTTTTTGATACCAATATTGTTCTGGTGTTTTTCTATGGCTACAAGTCATAGCATGCTATGGTTCTCAAAGAATTTAAATTGAAGATCAACCAAAGAGCCATGGAAAAGGGCTTACGCGGTGAGCAAGAACACAGTGTCATACAGCACAAAGTAGAAATTACTAAGGAAAAGCAAAAAATTGTTATCAAAGACATATATGAGAAAAAAAGAGGATGGTCACATAACTGACATCCCATGTATTCCACAATTATCCTTGCAATGTCAAGATGATAATAATAATAATGATAATAATAATAGCTAACATTTATATAGCACCTACTATATGCCAGGCACTGTGCTAAGTACATTACAATTATTATCTCATTTGATCCTCACAACAACCCTAGGAGGAAGATGCTATTATAATCCTAGCTGCCTGGGAAAGAGGGAAACCCCTAGCATGTTGAGTACACTCCCTAGGATGAATTTATGGAAGGAAATAGATAAGACTAACACAAAGTGGAAGATAAGGATGAATGAATAAATGATAAAGCATTTGTTAAGTAATATTATATATTCCAAGCAGTGTGTTAAGTGCCGGGAATATGACTATAAAAAGGAAGACAGTGCCTGCCCTCAAACAGCTTACATTCTAATAAGGAAAGATAACATATATGAAGAGGAGGAGGAAGATAACAGCTAATATTTTTATAAAGCTTACTATGCACCAGGAATTGTGCTCATTTTTGCAAATAATTAATTAATTAGTTAGTTAATTTTTATAATACTTTGCAATTATTATCTCATTTGATCCTGAAAAGGTAGGTGCTATTATAATCCCCATTTTAGAGATGAGAGGCAAACAGAGTTTGAGTGACTTGCCTAGGGTCACATAGCTAGTGAATGTCTGAAGTCAGATCTGAACATCTTACTAAGTCCAGGCCTGGTACTCTATTCACTATGCCAACAAATATTTAACACACTTTTAAATTTAATCTCTGTTATTAACAGTTTCTTAATCACTTTGTTTAGTCTAGACAATAAACAAAACAGTAAATTCAAACCCTAATTTGTAGCATTGGCTGATTTCTGTTCTCAGGAGCCAATAGTTGCTGGCACCATGATGTAAGGAAGTGTCAGCTTGGAAAGGAGCATTTTGGATGAGGAATTTATAAGGATAGTGAGTAGAGCCATGAGGTAATTGACTAACAATTTGATTATTCATTTCTATCATTGGAGGAAATACCAATGTTAATGACATCTTAGACCCATTTGAGCATTAAGGAGGAAATCATGAAATCATGGAGCCCCTGCCCCTGAGCTGGAAGGATATACCTGCCAAATGGTAATCCTGCCCCTGTGTGAGGAGCAGTGTGAAGGAGGACGCCTCTGCTCCCCGTAGCAGCTCATTCCATATTTGGACAGCCCTGATTATGAAGAGAGGGGCATTTTCCATATATATTTATACATATATGGAAAACATTTATATATACACATATTGTGTGTTATATATACACATATTGTTGTTCACTCGTTTCAGTTTTGTCTGACTCTTCATGACCCCATCTGGGGTTCTCCTGGCAAAGATACTGAAGTGGTTTGCCATTCTCTAGCTCTTATGTATGTATGTATGTATGTATGTATGTATGTATGTATATGCTTGTACATGTACACATATATAATATATACACTATACATATATTATATACACAGATAATGTGCATATTATATATGTACACTCATACATGTGCACATATACATAGTTATCTTTATATATACATCTAGTATAATATATACATGTGTATATTACATACATTGTTATATATGTATGTATACACATATATACATATACATATTTATATATGTGTGTGTTTGTGTGTGAGTTTGTGTGTATGTATATATGTATCTCCACCCTTCTTTGTATCTTTTCTTGTTTCTGCCTTCTGGAGTCAAACCAAACCACCTTAATCCCTCTTCCACATGACAGCACTTTAAAGGTTTAAACTTCTCTGTCTCTCTTGATTTCCCCAGTTTCTTCTACCCATTTTCATATGACATGGACTCAAGGTCCTTCGCCGTGCTAGTTTCTCTCCTTTAGATGGCGGTCAAGTTTACCAATGTCTTTCAATTGTGACACCAAGAAGTAAAGATGGAGTATGACCAGAACTGACGAGAGAGGGATTATCTTTCGCCTCCTTATTTCTGGAAGCAAGACTCTATTACCTTTATTGGCTGCCACATCTCACTGCTGACTTATATTGAACTTGAATTGCACTAAAACTTCCAGCTCTTTTTCTGACAATGTGCTGTCTAACCATCTGCTTCCATTTTATACTGTGAAGTTGATTTATTGAACCAAAGTATAAGACTTTTATGTTTATTCCCATGGATTTCACCTTGTTAAGTTCAAGTAAAATCAAATAAGGTAATATGTAAAGGTACTTTTTAAACTTTAAATCCTATATAAATGTCATATATTATTGTAATTATGAATCACATCTATGTCTTTCTTACAACATGCATTTCAGACAGTGACCTGTCTCTTTGGTTTTCTTGATATAGCCTCCAGCTGAACAAAATTAGGGATTTGTGTAAGATGAATGACAATGATAAATTGTCATCATCAAAAATTGTTTTTCTGAAATATCATTTCCTCAAATTAATCATCTCATTATTTTATGAGTCACTTAGTTCCACTGTCCTCACTCAAACTGACAGAATTCTCCAGAGAAAATTACTCTTGATGTTGCCCACTTAAAATTAGAATTTCAGAGGGAGTAGACAGAAAAAAGTTTCAAGCATACCTTCTCTGTCCCTCAGCCACATACAAAGACCATTGCGGTAGACCATTTGAGGTTGAAGCAAGCTAGATCTGAACATTCTTTAAAGCCAGCCAGGCTTTTAAGGCACTGACCAGACTGGATTCGCTAGGGAATGCTAAAATGCTTCCAGTTTTCTGTAACACAGGCACTTTTCTGGGCAATTAACAACCCCATCTGGGTCTGAGTTGTTGCTTTTCTAATCATAGTTGACCAACTTTTAAATAAAGTAGTTACCTGGAGTAGCTTTTACATAGCAGACTTCTTTTAAAAAGCAGCCTCCTAGTTTCTTGCACTGGTCTCTTGAGACATTGTAATCACATATGTCAAGAAGGGGAATGTCACATACTGCAACAAACACATAAATACATATTGTAATCACTGAAAACAAAGTCTTGAACTCCATAGAAGCTTTGAATTTTATTCTGGAGGAAGCAGTTACTGGGAAGGTTGTGGGTTTCTGGGGGATTTTTTTGTTGTGTTAATTATGCATCATACAAATCTCACTTTGAAACCAAGATCTGGAATGAATTAAATTTCTGAAGAAAATAATGTCAAGTTAATTATACAGAATAATACACAGTCCTCTAATGATTAAGAAGATAATATATTTCAGTTAAAGAGTGTGCCAAGCATAGTACTCCACAAAGCAAAGTAGAAAACAAAGAACTAATACAATTAGATTGGTGAGTTCAAGTTGTAATGTATAATTAATTCAACATTTAAGCATACAGTAAGTTAAAATTATCAACATGGGCTGTGGATTATTTCAGGATTTTTAGGCCGTGTCAAAAGGACAACAAGTTTTATTACCATTTTGACAAGAAGGAAGAAAGATAATGAATGTGCAAAGCACTGTAGGAGAAGATTAATTAAAGGAAGAAAAATGAACAGAGACACTTCTTGGCAAATGATCATTTTTCAACACATTACAAGGGAAACATTTTTATCCAGAAGGATTTGGTTCCCCAAACTGGGAGTGGGAAACAGTGATTTGGCCTATGAATAAGAAGTCCAAAATGAAGAAACCCTAAGTAAAGCAGCTGAAATGGATTGTCAGAGAAAGGAGCAGGAATAAACACCAGGTCCAGGAAGAGCAAATAGAAGACACTGCAAGAAACTTGTGTAGAGTAAACGACTTTCTCACAAAACAAAACCCATATTAATTTGGTCTGGAACAAAGCATCACTTGTATCAGTCTGGCAGGTCCATGCCAAAATATATCTGGCAGTCTTGACTTCCCTGCACTATGAACCTCCCTTCCCTACACCCCTATCATCATCATCCCAGAAGCTTTGCTCTGACTCTGAACAATTTCCATACAGCACTCCTTTAATCAGTCCTCTCCTCCCTAAAGAATGGTGACTCCATTTCCCTCACATAATTTCATCCCTCCCTCCCAGGTTAGCTGAGTGGCCACAAGACAAACCCTTCAGCCTAGGAGGAGCTTGTCCTAGCTTCTTTTCAGTTACAGATTCATAACCCAGCATCTGGAAGGAATCCTGGGAACAGGCGGTGCTACAGGGAAAGCCATAGAATTCCATTCCCCTTACCTACTTTACCCCTACTAGAGTAAGTAGGAGGATATAGTACTCACCATTAGCTGCTTCACTCATAAAGCAAATTTGTTGTTGTTGTTGTTGTTGTTGATTAGTTGTATCCAACTCTTCATGGCCCCATTTGGGGTTTTCTTGTCAAAGATACTGGGGTGGTTTGCCATGTTTTTCTCCAGCTCATTTTACAGTTGAGGAACTGAGGCAAAGAGGGGTAAGTGACTTACCCAGGGTCATACTGCTAGTAGGTTTCTGAAGCTGGATTTTAACTCAGGACTCCATGGCTGGCATTCTAACCATTGTGTTACCTTGTTGCCCCAAAGCAAATATATCTAAATATTAATTGTAGGTGATGTTTTATCAATCATTTAATTTCAGCCAACACTCTCAGGAAAGTGGGTCATTGGATGTTGTTTCTTTTTTCATTTTCCTTCGCAGTAATGAACTAAAGTTTATTTTCACCAAAAAATTACCGTGTTCGTCTACAATGCAAAAAAAAGGAATAAAAGAATTCTCAGCTGTGTATCTGTATTTAAGATCTAAACATAGTATTCAGGCTGTCACTCTTTTTAAAAATCAAGTCTCATTTCCTCTTTGTGTGTGGGAATTCTCCTCAACCATCTGATCTCAAAAAATGCAATCAGTCAATCAACAAGCCCTTATTAAGTACCTACTATTTGCCAGACAGGGCAGCTAAGTGGAGCAGTGGATAGAGTGAGAGGCCAGAGTCAAGAAGACTCATCTGGCCTCAGACTCTTACTAGCTGTGTGACCCTGGGCAAGTTGATTAACCCTGTTTGCCTCAGTTTCTGCATCTGTAAAATGAGGTGGAGAAGGAAATGGCAAACCATTCCACTATCTTTCCAAAAAAATCCCAAATGGGGTCACAGAGAGTCTGACATGACTGAAATGAATGAACAACAAAAAATATGCCCGGCCCTGTGTTAGGTGCTGGGGATAAAAAGACATAAATGAAACAGCCTCTACCCTCAAAGAACTTAAGATATATTCTGTCTTCTGATTGGATCCTTAGTCATTGTTTTTGTCTTTCTCCCCCTTTTATCTTGACTCCTTATCCTTAGTTCTTTGGAAATTTTCTTTTTTATCTTCTCTCTCCTTCCCTATTCTTTTCTCCCCACATTTATAGCTCTGGTACAGTTGCATTACAGGACATAGTAGCTTTGTTTATCAATGTTTTGTGTTTTTTTTTCCATTCCCTCAATCCAAATGAGATTAAAATACAAAAGTAATCCCTTTAGAAGTATGGACACAAAGTGGGAGAAAGGTGTGTGAAAATGAGTGATAAGAAGAGAAGGCAGGAGGGCCTTCTAAGATGTTCTAAGATGACTATCTTAGAACAAGCCATCAATTTTGAAATGGCAGATTACTTTGGTAGCTAAGTCCAGCCATAGAAACACACAGAATTGGCACTTATGTAGTGTGAACTCTGTGTCTCTGGAGAGAAAAAAATAAAGGAGGGAATAAAGAAAAACATTCTCCTTTAAGAGTAAGCCAGGTAACAGCAATAAAGGAGGAAAAAGAACTGAGATAGTATGTGCTCTAAGTCACAACGAAGGAAGAAGTGGGGAGGCAGGACTGACTGCCAAGATTCAGAGACACTGAGGTCCAGTTTTTTCACTACCTCTCTTAACCTCAACTTGGGCAAATTTCTCGATTATATCTGGGACTTTGGGGGGACAAAAACAGATCACACAAAACTGTGAATGTGCTCATTAAATTTAATTCCCATTCTCTTGAATTATTTAGCTCAAATATTCAAATAAACTCTCCTAGTCATTTAAGGAGATCATAACATTTTATGGTTGAACTTCTACAATAATTCCCCCCTCCCCCCCTCAACAACTTTGTCTTGGCAAATATCATCACAAAACCTGGCTGAGTCAGAGAAGAAGTATTCATACTTTTCTTTTTTAGCCTCAATCATAAGTCATAAAAGAACTTCTGCCTTTCAGGGAAATTCCCTTAATGCTGCTCTACTCTTTCCATTTCCCATAAGCCTCTTGGGCAACCTCAAGAGCTTTCTATTCTTGGACGAGTTCTTTCTTACCATTTCCTTGAGCATGGTACTGTGGATGGAGCTCTGGGCTGAGTCACAATTCTGAGCTCTAGTCTTTGCTCTACTGCTAGTTACCCATGTGACCTGGAGAAAGTTGCTTTACCTATCTGAGTCTGTTTCTTCACTTGCAAAATAAAAGAGATTAGAAAAGACTGTGGACTTGGAAGGGATATCTCCACATTCACTGAGTCCAACTCTCACATTAAACATGAATCTCCTCTATAATATCTCACACAAATGATCACTCTTTGCCAGAATAATCCAGTGATAAGGGATTCACTCCAGAGACAGAGGTGTCCTATTTCATTTGGGCATAGTCATAATTATTTTCCTAATATTAAACCAATATCTGCAGCAGTCTTGTGTTGTTCAGTAGTGTCTGACTCTTTGTGACCCCATTTGGGGTTTTCTTGGCAAAGATACTAGAGTGGTTTGACATTTCCTTCTCCAGTTCATTCCTCAGATGAGGAAACTGAGGCAAACAGGGTTAAGTGACTTGCCCAAGGTAACAAAACTAATATTTGATTTTGATACTATCCCACACAAATGATCACTCACAAAGATCAAATTGCAAAGATTTGAACTCAGGAAGATGAGTCTTCCTGACTCTATTCACTGCAACACTTGATCTCCAACAACTAGTGAGCCTGCTGCTGTGTTAACTAGACCCAAACCTAGGCCAGGAGCTTGTAGAGCTCAGATCTGGAAAGCATCAGTAAGACTTCACTATAGTTCAAAGCGTTTGGGAACACTGAAAGTATGGAGGCTTCCAGTCTTGGCCACTCTTGGGCTCCCTGAATAACACTGTATTAATACCTTGGGAAAAGAAAATCAGGAATGCAAATGAGAACCAAACAAGGGATTCCCTCCAAAAGTGGGCTGAGCCTGATCCTAACACAAAGACCCAATTCAAGAAGTAAGGCTGGACTCAAACCACCAGCACCACCTTGACACCCCTCCTCTTCTCAGACCATGATGGAGACAGTCCTAGACCCTTAACTCAAAAACTTTGGAAATAGCAGTGCCTCCCACACCACTGGACCTATTTCCAGTCCTGCCTTCCAGCCACCTTTGAGGGGAGCAATCATCATGGAGAGGTTGACTGCCTTTCTTACCCATACCAGCTACCACTTATGGCAGGCAAACCCAAGAGTCCTGGCCGAGGTAGCACCTTCCAGACCAAGCAGTGATCATCCTAAGAAACATCCCCAGTGGAGATGCTATCTGGCAACTGTATTTATAATGTTGCTACCATAGCTTCTGAAGATGCAGAGCCGAAAGTCCTCACTATCAAGATCCATGCCACTCAAAGAATTAGAAATTGAGGGGATGCCCAACAATTGGGGAATGGCTGAACAAGTTGTAGTATATGATTATGATGGAATGCTATTGTGCTATAAGAAATGATGAGTAGGATGCTTTCAGAAAAACTTGGGAAGACCTATATGAACTGATGTAGAATGAAATGAGAAGAACCAGGAGAATGTTATACACAGAAACAGCAATACCGTATGATGATCAAATGTGAAAGGCTTAGCTATTCTCAGCAATATAATGATCCAGACAATTCTGAAGGACTTAATGATGAAAAATGCTATCTATCTCTAGTGAAAGAACCGAGGGAGTCTGAATGCAGATCAAAGCATACATTTTTACTTTTTTAATTTTTCTTGAGCTTTTTTTTTTTGGTCTACATTTTCTTTTGCAACATGGTTAATATGGAAATGTTTTGCATGACCGAACGTGCACAATCTACATCAAATTGCTTCCTCTTAAGGAGGGAGGAGGTGAGGGAGGGAGAGAATTTGGAACTTCAAATTTTTAAAAAAAATGTTGAAAATTTACATGTAATTGAGAAAAAAGTAAAATAAAAAATTAAAGGTTAAAAAAAGTGAAAGCTCTGGGAAGAGGCAGGAAGAAGGCTGCAAGGAGAAATTTCAGTGATATAACAATAAGAGACATCAATAAAATCTATTCAAAACAAAACAAAAAAAAAGGAAATAGGAAACATATACTCACCACACTCTGCATCAAGCCTATGTTAAGATACTTTGTTTATACATTAAAAAATAATTCTTGTCACTATCAAATGATCGAACATCAGAAATGGAGAACATTTTTTTCTGTGGAAATGACATTAAAGGAGAAGCCTTCTTTGCTGCTGCTGCCTGAAGGCCAGGGGACTTTTCCCTCTTATCTGCAGGTGAAACCTGCCTTATGCATTGTCTTCCCATTGGAATTGAAGCTTCTTGAGAGCAGAGACTGTCTTTTTTTTTTATTTCTAACCTCTGTGCTTTGCACACAGTAAGTGCTTAATAAATGCTCATTCATCCATTAAAAAAAAAAAGAAGTAAGGCTGGAATTTCTGAATGAGTGAACAAACAAACAGGGCAGCTAGGTGGCACAATGGATAGAGTGCCAGGCCTGGAGTCAGGAGCCAGGAGTTCAAGTCCAGCCTCAGACAATTAGTAGCTGTGTGACACTGGGCAAGTTACTTAACTTGGTTTGCCTCAGTTCCCTTATCTGTAAAATGAACTGGGGATGGAAATGGCAAAACACTCCAGTATCTTTGCCAAAAAACTCCCAATGGGGTCATGAAACTGAACAACAACAACAAAAACAAACAAAAAATATTTCATTATAAGGAGGTGCAATGATGCTTGAAATGTCCAGAAGAAAATAACTCAAAACATGTACAAACAAGTCCTAAAAGATAAACACAGCTTGGTCACAAGGGCAACTCAAATTCTTGAAAGAAATGAAGCAGAAGTTTTAGAGGATTAAAAATTAAATTATAAATGAAACAAGAATGTTGGTGGGGGAAAATTAGAAAAGAAAAAATATGAGAAGAATAGAATAATAGTTACAATAACAATAGAAACATTCACATGTATCCTATTAACAATATGTCAGCA